CAAGTCATTGCTGACTCATAGTGACTCCCTGTAGGCTTCGGAAACTGTAAACTGTTTATGGGAGTAGAAATGCCAGTGGTTTTGAACTGCCAACGATGTGGACCACAGCCCAGTGTGTAGCCACTACATGAATAGGCCTCCTTAAGAATATTTACAGCTCCTTCTGTTTCATAGAAGAGAGTAAGACTAGAAGATAAGAATTTGACCAAGATATAAGTTGCAGATCCTCTTTAATTCCATCTTTAATCCCCTTTCTTTCCTGCCATGCAATGAAAGCGGAAAAATACTGTACACTGGAAGCAAACTGACGGCATATTCACACACATCCCTTTTCCTTATTTGTATTAAAATTATTTCTATGTCTGTATCCAAGATAGAAAACAATAAAAAATTAATAATTGTTTTTACATAACAGATATACCCTCCCCTCAACAAGAGGGAAGCCATTAATATTTAAGTGTGGAATAATCTTGGCAAAATGAGAATTTTTAGTAGCACTTGACTTCAGATGTTCCATGTTAAAAACACTCCTTTGCAAAAAAAAATAAAAAATCCCCCTCAGGCCAAAGAAGAAGTTTTAGAGTGTCACAGTACTCTTCCTCCCTCCAGCGGAAAACACAGACTGGCCATGTTCTTTCCTTTCCTTGACATAAGTGATTAAAACCCTCCAAAACCAATCCATTCCCTACAGACAATTTCTACTCAGAGAGGTCCTATAGTACAGTGTAGGGTTTTCAAGACTGTAAGTCTTCATGGGGTAAGACATCCCGATCTGTTTCCTGAGGGGAAAGATGGTCTGGTGTGTTAGAGTGGCTGGTGGTTTTGAAAGGTTGCCTCAGGGTTAGCAGCTCAATGTTTAACCTACTGCACCATCAGCACTCCTATAAATGGTTAAGAGATACTGAAATTTTATATAGGAGCACCCCATTATACTATTAAATTTAAAAATGTTTCTTTTAAATCATTTTACTGGGGCTCATACAACTCTTATCACAATCCATACATACATCCATTGTGTCAAGCACATGGGT